GTGTGATGAATTATCTAAGGCATTCAAATATTAAAACCCACTTATAATAGTTCGTAAAATCATTATAAAACAAAACATTACCACAATAAATCAGAAGGTCGCCAGATGTCTCGTAAAACAACAACCCCTCGGTCATTATTTAAGAAGACGAAAAGCAGAGACATTGTTCTGTACGTTCGTTTATAAAAGTCACGTTCACTACCGAGAGGACACGCTTCTTTCGAAATTATTACGTGATTTCTGTATATTCTTATAGCACAATAATGCTTGTTGCTTTATAGCAATAACTAGTTATTACCCGCGACTTCGTGTAACCGTGAATTAACAGAGTACAGAGGAATAACACCTGAGCCCTCAGGAATGGCAACGCATAGGGGGTTCATGAACGAAACAGTATACTCTGTTATGTCTATGGCACTGCTCATGTCTATAGACGACGATTACCACTTTCCATCAGGTGCGTCGTCAGCTTGTTTGCCATTCTAAGTTGTATAAAAAAACGGAATATGTTTACTGAATGGGATAAAAAAATGGTAAAGCCTCCCAATTGGGAGGCCTATGATCAGTAATGGACAGATAATGGCTGTATCATCGTCATCATAATCATCATGTTTTATAATAAACTGCATCCGCACGAAGATAGGATGTGTGTGTGTGTTAGGTGTGTATTGTGTGTTGATAGGATCGATAGTTAAAAAAATCTAAGATAATAAGTGCCAAATAATTCCGTGTTTTCACCGACTTCCAAATTGAAATTCTAAATTCAAGTGCGTTTGTTTTATCTTTGTTAGATACCTCATACCTACTCCGTCAGTTGTAAACCGATTTGGAAAATGCTTTATTTATCTGAAAGGACATACTTATAGATATATGGAAATATAAAAATATTATTTTGCCACAATCTTACATTTACATGCAGCGTTACATCGCGTGATTAAAGCGTAGACTGCAATAATAAAGGTATAAATAGGTAGTGATCACGCAACCTTCATATAGTTAGGTAATCGTGAATTGTACATCGGTTCTGTTTCATTTAATCTGTTCGTGAAGTGCATCAAAAAAGTGTTTCTTCGAGTTTAATGATCTTGAGTAATGCAAAATACTACAGATATTACCCATATAAGAATATTTATATATTTTGATTACAATATCTATATATTGACCCAATAACGAATATGTTAATTATCTATTATACGAAATATGAAGTGGTAATAGGCTGAGGGGCTACCATGAAATATTTTCCGAAATTTCGGGGACGAACGAAACAGAAATTTGATGTTAAAATTACATAATAATAATAATAATAATAGTTTTTATTTCTGACTTTTTGGTCCATTAAATATTTATTAGTAACAATATTCTTAAAAACTAATAATACATGCCATTTAAAATTATTAAAAATGTTAAAATATCGTTTCTCTGGACTATTACGATAGGATTTATGATGAACGAAATGTTAAGCGCCATTTACTGGGTCGATTTCAATACGAACAAAAACACGAAATTGAGCCCAAAAATTCGGAATTTCATTTCATGGTAGACCACCAGGTCACATGACTCGAATAACCGACAACTAATGAAGAAGAAAGGTTCTTGTGTGGCAAATGGAGTGCAGGACACCTCAACTAGATGGATATTTTTGATGAGTGAAAATGGTATGGTAACCCCGCCTGTGCTAACGGGATACGCTGGCGGAGCACCAGTGAGGGGTGATAGATGAGAATGAAAACAGTTAGCCCATCATGATGAATTCATCAGGAATTAACCATGATAGTTGCCAGGGGGACCGCGAGGAGGTCGACCTGGTTGGGTGTATTGCTAGCAATGGGATTCTCAGTCTCCATCACTAACAATTCCTTTCCCCCCAAACCGAAGCGTATAATCTACCACTATGTCTGGCGTGTATGGACTATGAGAAAGCCTTGGATTCGGCCGAGACGTGGACGGTACTACGGGTACAGTTCCTGCAGTGGTGCCAGATTGACTATAAGTAGATTCTACCTATAGGTAGAGTTCACCTACAGTCAATCGATATAAATATATCATAGTGTATCGATGATGATGACATATTTCTCAATTGAACGCAATGGAAATCTAAATAAAATCCAAAAACATGAACGGCAATACATTATATTAATACCAATGATGTTGTATCAAATGGAGTTAAAGCGGTCGCCGTAGCCGAAATAGGTCTTTTCAACCGACTTTAAAAAGAACAAGGTTCTCAATTCGGTTGTTTTTTTTTATGTTTGATAGATACCTCATAACTCCGTCAGTTTTAACCGAATTTGAAAAATTCTTTTTTAACTAAAAGGATAGGTATACTTACAGTTTTGACCCATAGAAATTTTATCAACATCGGTTCGATAGATAGAAAGATCTTCTTTATTGTTTCCTTCAAAACATTAGGTACACTAGTAAACTTATTATAGATTTTTTTATACAACTTAGAATGGCAAACAAGCTGACGGCCCACCTGATGGAAAGTAGTAACCGTCGCCTATAGACATGAGCAGTACCATGAACATAACAGAGTATACTGTTTCGCTCATGATATTCATGATATACGCCCTGCGTTGCCTTTCCTAAGGACTCAAATGTTATTCCTCTGTACCCTGTAAATTCACGCCATATCCCACCTTTCAAACCGAAACACAGCTATGCAAACAAACAATTACAAGAATTAATCACGTAGTTAGTTTATAAATGAAAATAACTGGTTTTGTCACAATTTAAATCGGTTTTTGAGTGTGGGATACTATCTTTAGATAGACAGATAAATGCTCTTTATTGTTTCCTCCAAAAGACTACAAAAGCAAACTTATTATAAATATAAACAATTACAAGAAATAATAACAATAAGAAAACAATGGGCAACTATATCGCTAAATCGATCGCGATCTCTTCCAGGCAACCTTTGGATGGAGAGGAGTAATTTAATTATTTACTTATTTTATAGGTGAAATGGAGTGGTAGCCCCGCCCGCGCTACCAGTGTACAATAGCGGGAGCAATAGTGAGTGATAATAGGTGAGGATGAAAGCAGGTCGGTCGGCCCATCTGGAAAAATTCAACAGGAATTAACCACAACGGTTTCCGGGGAGAATCGCGTGGAAGTCGCTTTGATAGGATATATTGCAAGCAATGGGACTTTTAGATCGTCATTAGTAACAACCCTCTTCGTCCTATCGTAATCGGTCGCGACCCTCATGTAGGTATACAACTTAAAGCTTGGTTCTATGAATTATCCCCTAAAGTAGGCAACTGATAGCTGGCTGGAAGATTATTTACGCCTTTGCTAGATAGCTACGCATTCACATCAAAATCTGTCAATTCCCTTTATTAAAAATTGCTTTCCGTCTATTTTTTTTTACCGTTCGTTTGGCGCCGAAAACTGCGTTTCGGCGAATATGCCGAACTGTTAACACTAGACTCCGAGAAGCGATCTAATAATTTGCCTGAAGATGCCTCGTTTAGAGGTGAAACACGTATTGCAAAACGTGCGCGAACAAAATGGCAGTCGGAGATTGATGGCTAGTATGAAAGATTGTGGAACTTCTGTTTGTAATAGTGGTGGTCAATCTTCGAGTGTTAGCAGTCATACACATACTAACGGTAGCGGAATTAAACAAAATAATTCTTCCGGACTTCCACAGAATAACGTTTAGTTCATTAAAACATTCTATTACCGTTCATTAAAAAAAAGCCTTATTGGTTGAACGGAGAAGGGTTTGTTAGTAATAGTGGATAGCAACCCCATTGCTAATATCTAGTCGACTCTATCAAATCGACTTTAGATAGAGATAGAAAGCATTGTGGCTGATTACTGTTGAATTCGTCATGATAGGCCAACTGACCTGCTTTCATCCTCACCTATCATCTCTCAATCTCCCCATCTGTATATACCGATAACGCAGTTGTGAATTCGATTCTATTTTTAAACCTTTAAAAGATTTTTTTTTTATTTTCGCTCCAGCCATTATTAAATAGGTGCATATATCTAGAGCATCAAGACTCCGATACACTAATATCAAGTATTTATTTATCGCTATCGCTAAGAACTCTCTTAGTAACAATACCCATCAAACTCCTCACAAAATTGTATGTGTGAAGTCGTTTTAATCGTAATATCGTCATCGTAGCTCATACATCAAACGTGACAGTTCAGAAAATAAAACGCCGCCGCTCTATCTGGCGGACGTGTCGAGTCGACGCAAGCTGTATCTATTTATCGCTGCGTATCTCTCCCTACAACAATACGAACAAAATAAATAAATGTACACCGTCGCGCCCGGATCCGGCGACCCTTCTCTCCGCACGTAATCCAAAATGTCCGTTTATTTTTCTATGTGAGACCGCGCCGCGTAAAAAACAACGCAACGCTGGGATCGAACGAGTCGGCTTGCTAGAAAGGGACGGGAACACTCGGCGCCCGGTTCTCGGCGGGCGGGGCGCCTCGACGCACGTTTTAATTGGCCACTAGCACACAGCGCCCGCCGCCTGCCCTCGCCGACCAATCGCAGTCTGTAGCACTTTACCCTTCCCGCACCCCGCGAAGCCCAAAATACCGACCTTTCACGAATGTCGACCCGATTCGATACGACCAAAAATGCCTTAGTTACTTCACGCGCGCTCTGTTGACTAGTCGCTTTCGCTGCTCGTTTCCAGAAAAATACAAATCTGTGGTTTCTGTGTAAAATAATAAACTGGTCTGGTTTTATGTGGTGCTTTGCATAATAATTTTGGATACTAACACCGTCTGCTCAAAATCAGGTAACTACATCAATTACCTCATAGATTAGTCCTGTAACTATCAAAATGTCAATACTATAAATAGATTTCAATTATCATTGATAAACGTGGAGTAAACATAATATTATAGCACCGGATGATCGAACGTAAAAGCGGTGTCCTCGTAATCAACGTAGGCCAGTCGGTGTGGCAACGTCGCGCGTAAATAATAGGGTAGGCGCTCGGTCTTTCTCTCGCAGCTGGCGCAAAACGGCAACGTCGCACCTCGCCGACGATCGTGCCTCCACCGCGGCGCGCCGCTGTGGGGAATCGCCCGCCACCGAGTTGAGCGAGACGCATTCACTACCGTACCAACACATTATACCTACGAAACTGGCATTATTTTTATATTACTTTTTTTATACACTATTGGGATATTGCTCAATTCATCAGTAGTTTAGTTTTACTGTAAGGATTTATTCATTACTTATTCTGTTCCTTCGTTTATTATATACTTTGAATACTTATATATTACAGATTAAGTAAATAAGTTATGTAATTATCATTAAGATTTTATTACACCTTAGTTATCTATAAAACTAATATATCTCTTAATTATCAGATTCTTAAACTGAAACACGAAGAAGTATGATGAAAATATAACTTGTTTACAGATATCGAGCGGGTGTTTGTATACGCGTGGCGCTCTCTATCGGCATTCGGCGAAGTGTGTGTAGCGCGGGAAGTGCGGGGGCCGCGGGGCGAGTTTTTCGTCCCCCTACTTCAGTTTGTCTCTGACGCGCATTAAGTAGGACGTGTTGCTATTCGCCGCTTGTGAAGGATCGTTCACGCGGTAACTTTGAACTGTGACAGTGCTCAAAAAGTGATATCGTAATAAAGAATGTGTGTTGGATTGCGGTGCCCTACAAATTGGATGCAGTGATCGGATCACAGTAACTGGATTGCAGTGTTTTTTATTTGGATTTTGCATTTTTCTCACCGGCCAAACTGGGGATGCATAAGATGGAACTCGGCGACAGCGTGTACGCCGCCGAGCGTATAATGAAGAAAAGAATTAGAAAGGTGAGCTTTTTATTTTACTTGCACAAAACAAAATGGTTACTAACCTTGCGAAACTTGCATGCACACGAGATCACATATCAGCGGATTGCGGATTTTTGTTTGTTGCGCTTCATTGTGAACTGCTTGTGTGGCAATAAACGATCGCTTGTTTCTGCTCACGCCGAATTTCAAAACACGCTTTATAAAATAATATGCATTGCTCAACGTTTGTAGTTTAGATTTTTCGTATTAATCCGCGCATTGTGGTCCTGGCAGCTGGTGACTAGGGTTTCTGGATCCTTTTCACGCGAGCTCTTTGCTTATTATTATGAGGGGGCCCCTCACATGGTCTTATGTTAAGATACCAAGGGTCGCAATGAGAAAGTGAATTCATACATTATGAATGGGCCCCTTCTTGAGATTACATTAAGATTGACAGTAAACAAGTTTGGCACTGAAGGCATGTGAGGGGCAACCTTGCGCTATTATTGCATGAAGTTTTTCGATGTTAAGGCTCGTTCCTGTTACTAACTTGGGTCGCTTTTTGACACGTAAAATAACAATACCAGCGCAGTCTTGGTCTGGTTTAAGCTGTAAGTGCACGTTTTTTTACACCTAATCATAAAGTGAGACTCTTTGAACGTTTTATTATTTAAAATTTTTATATATGAAAGCTCTATTATACAAATTGTAAACGAACAAAGAGCCTCTGATCATAAAATCGTTATTTGCAAAGGTAAGTGACTAACTCGACAATGGAGGCAGCGACGAGGTAAGTTACACTGCATCTTTAATTCGACATTGACATTATAATATTAATTGTTATAAATCAATTGGCATTATAGTATTAAATGTTATAAATTAAAACTTTACACGAGATACTTGTTTGTATTCATCAGACAAATGTAAATTTTTATTACAGAGAGCAATGATCAGATTTTTATAAACTAGTTAGTAATAGTAATAAAAGTAAAGTTACCTACTCGTATCCAACTCGAAATGAGTTTGAGGGTGCACCCACAATTTTAAGTAACTGAAACATTTTCAAGTATAAAAACAAAGTAAAACCTAATTATTTGTGTGTATTGTTTTGTCTTCGGGTGTAAACAATATAAATAACATTTATGAAATGTTATCAAACATGTCTTTCATTATCAGCATAAAAACTCCAATCCATAACTCCCACTCCTACATCGGATCCTTTACAGTACAAGCTGTTACACTTTGGAACTCCCTCCCAAATAATACCAGAATGGCGCAGACCATTCATTCCTTCAATACGCAAACAAAATAATTTTACAGTACACTTGATAGTCGATTTATTTTTGTATCTATATTCAGTTACTTATAGCTATTAATAATATAGTTTATTATATATCATATTATTTTTGCACCATATATGTTATGCTTAATATACAAACCCTACAGATACTTTCTCCTTTCGAGTTCTCAAGGTTGACTGGAAGAAATCTTTCAAGGGATAAGTCCTCCTGTGTACATTTTTGTTATAACCATATCTATGTCAAAAGTGAATTTAATAATAATAATAATAATAATAAACTAAACAAAAGATGACACTATATAGTATTTATAATTATATACAAAAGACCTGCTACGTAGAATCTATTATTTCAGACAACCTGGCATAAAGAATGGATAAGTACAGAGAGAAAGGTAGATGGCGCAAATCAGACACAGTAAATGCATAAAAAATCAGACAAAATGCAAAAAATCTAAATATAAAAATAAGATTACATAACCTAAATAAACATACATATATAATAAAAATAATAATACATAAACATACATATATAATATAAATAATAATACATAAACATAAATATATTATCAAGATAAATCACACATAGTAAACGTCAAAGCAAATTAGAGAGATCGGTAATGAGATATTACCTGCCTCTTGAACGATGCAAGAGATTGCGCTGATCTAATAGAAAGAGGTAAGGAGTTCCAAAAACGGATAGTATAGTGAAAGAATAGGAATAGAATGCAGAAGAATGAATAGGAGTTACTAAACGAATCCGCTGCGCAATGTAATTTGAGAATCGACATGAAACTCAAAGCACGTTTTGAGGTAATCGGGAGTTGAAGGATGAAAAAGAATAGTATAAAGAAGAGATATTTAATGCGAATTGGAAGCCACTTGAGTTGATTGCGGAAATCAGAAATGTGGTCATATTTGCGAAGATTAAATATAAACCGTATACATATGTTCTGAAGTCGCTCAAGTTTATTTAATTGATCTTCTGTAAGATTTACAAAATTAAAATAAATAAACAACTGACACTATATAGTATTTTAATTATATGACCTGCTACGTAGAATCTATTATTTCGGACTAGATGGCTTTCAAAGATAGCATAAGTTTCATAAAAAAGATTGAACTTTGGTATTACCCAAAATGCAAACTTCTAAAAACATTACTTTGGGTAAAATGTTTAGATTATTATATTTGACTAGCTGTATCCGGCGGCTTTGCCTGCGATTTTAAAGTAATTTAATAGCATATTCTTGCATCCCTTTCTCGATGTATGGGCTATCAAATGCAGAAATATTTTCTTTAAATCCAACTAATAATTTGGAAGAGAAAATGATAATTGGTAATGGGATTTAACAGCTCTATCACGTTGACCTCCATGTGGTTCCCCCCTCGAATTACACAAGAATCAAATATCATGGTTAGTTCTTGTATAATTCCCCACATTGGGCTAACTAGCCTGCTTTTGTTCTGACCTGTCATCTCTATCTGGTGCTCTGTCAGCGTATACCGATAGCACACACGATGTGACCATCCCATTACCACCCATAGGGAACTGGCTGTACCAGAAATTACTACGTTCAAAGAATGCGTTTCTCTTCCGCTTTATTAAATATGTATATAGAAGTATAGATGTAGAAGGGGGAAAGGAATTGTTAGTCATTAGATCTAATAGCCCTATTGCTAGCAATACATCCTCGCAGATCGAATTCATCATGGTGCGCCAACTGACCTGCATTCATTCTCACCTATCATCTTCCACTGCTGTCCTGCCGGTATAAACCAATAGCGTTGACGGAGTTACCATTCCATTTTCATCCATTAAAAAATGTATAGATGTGTATATTTACCGTAGATATGTTGTGTTTGTGTGTATTAGGATAAAAATAGGCATCCTATGTATCTGCAATACTTATGGTATATCTGCTCAGTGAATTTTATTTAAATACGTTCAGCTATTTGTGTGATTAAATAAAAGAATAATATCTTTACAATCTTTCAAGTGTCAAATATCCTACATATTTATTGGATATTGTATTAGCATTTCATATGAAAAGTAACAATGTTATTGTTGTTATTTTTCAAATAAATTCCAATAGATCGATATTGAAATTAAAGCGATTGGCACTGTCAATGTTATTTCAATTGGTATCACCGTAATATAAAGTATTTATCTACGTATAGTAACTCTCTCTCTCTCTCTCTCTCTCTCTCTCTCTCTCTCTCTCTCTCTCTCTCTCTCTCTGTCTGTCTGTCTTCCAAATACCTCGATCTTTTTGTTTGCTCCTCTACCAAAAGTTAGTCCAACTCGCTTCCTTCGAATTGCAATACTAGCAACATAATGTTTCCACAATTCATATTACAAACCATTCCCAAATCTAACCTAATTCCTAATTGTTGTTTCTTGAATGCAGTACAAAATTGTCATTGGCAATAGATTACATTGATATTAGTAATAGATTAAAGAGTAAAATTTGAGATGTTTGTATGAGACGAGTTTTTTTTTTTTTTATTGGATGTAAATGGAATAGTAACCCCGCCTGCGCTAATGGGATACGCTGGCGGGGCACCAGTCAAGGGTGATAGATGAGGATGAAAACAGGCCAGTTAGCCCATCATGATGAATTCATCAGGAATTAATCATGATAGTTTCCAGGGGGAACCGCGAGGAGGTCGACCTGGTTGGGTATATTACTAGCAATGGGATTCTCAGTCTCCATTACTAACAATCCCTTTTCCCCCCTGTATGAGACGAGTTATCACAATAGACGTATGTAAGAACAGAGAAATTTTATACTTGGCTTTAAATCTCTTAAACTTGTAATAATAAGGAGCTAGTTATATAAATTCAGCATCAACAGCCATCTCTCAAGGAATGTTCTTAAGAAATGATTAGGTAGCTCCAATTTTGTCTATCTTTTCTAGACGATAATTGATTATAATCAATCTATTTGATAAGAAATGACGATGCTAACTTATTTATCATGATTTACAATACTAGATAATAAACTATACTACTACTAGATATGTACTACTCAAGTGAGGGTATCGCCATTTACTATCAAAAGTTTCTAGGTTTACTTCGTTACATACCAAGACATATAACGTGAAAAGAAAATGAATAGCCCCTTTTAACAAAGGATTGTTATGTTTGGTGGCTTCTATGGAAGTATTGTTATTGACTTTACTTTTTAGTACACGTCCTAGGATTATTAACGCTCTCATTACAAATCTTAACCATTCCATCTTCTCCCTAGATAGATGAACTTAGAGAAATACATTGTAATAAATAAAAACATTACGCCTGTTTCTCATATATAGCGTAAATAAAAATTATATGACTCTAAAATACTGGTGTTATTCAAACAGACCTTTGCTTCTACTATGTTTGGTTCGTAACAACTTGTTCTTTTTCAATTGAAGAAACTCCTTAACTAAAATCGTTATTAACTAAAAAAAAGAAACAAATTAACTAAAAAAGTTTTTAAATTAATTAAAATCAAATAAATCTTATCTGCTATACAACGTGTTTTATAAAACCTGTACAGTTATGACATAAGCACATAACTAGCTGGTTAGTTACTGTATGTTATCTAGCTAAACAAACTCGTCTATGCATAGTCAGTTTTTTTATTTTTTGTATCTAAAGAGTTCTATAACAATTGAATTCCCATTACTTACAAACAAGAATTTTTAATCTTTATCGGTCTGAGGATGAGGATTGTTAGTAAAAGATCTAACATGT